TGGGGGTCTTTGGGTCATCTAATGGCGACTGGTCAAAGTTCAGCGCCACCCAACTCATGAATTACCTAGCGTGCAATCCATTACTCCAGTTCTTCATCGATATTGAGTTCTGATCACAAAAAATCTTCCGACGCGCAGCACCTTGCAGTTTTTGGCCACGATGTTTTCCATGTATCACAACGGCGACGTGTACTCAAAAGGACAAAATTGTCTGTAGATAAGCGAAGGCACTGTTTTTATGCGATGTTGAGAATTTACATCACCTCATTAGGCGTAAAATACGAACTTAAAATGAAACAAACGCTGGATTCCGTTGATCTGCTGAACAGTTTTGGTTTTCTCTGAGGATGGGTCGAAGGTACTTCAGTAAATAGGTCCATGGAATACGCAGGTATCTCAGCTACACCATTATAAAAGGGCATGACTTCAGGGATGCGAGTGTTTCAGTAGTTACTGGAATAGCTGGAAATTACGCGTCCGTTCATATTCTGCACACTAATAGCAATGAATATTTCTCGTCCTTCGCATAAGCCGGTAAGATACAGTCATAAGTTAGATACGTAGCGTTCGACTTGATTTATTATTTGAACAAAGAAATGTTTTTAGGCAAATTTGCTTCCTAAACACCACTCTCGTCTTGTCACAGATAAAAGGAGGGATGACGATCAAAGTTAAGTCATTACTGGGTATGGTGACGTATGGTTGGATTTGATCCGCTTTAGCCTCTGGCGCTACGGTCGATGTTAAATTTTGTCGTATACCTTGAAACAGCGGTAATTCAAAGAGTTTTTGGTGGATTTTTTTTTTCAAAATTCTGACTGATAGTCAAAATCACTCTGGTTTGAACCAGTGGTTGGAACCGCCCGCTGCTGTTGTGCTGATCGTCAAATGAGCTCTGTTTCATAGAAGCCAGTGACAACTTCTGGCTCACAAACAGACATCTGCTTAGATTGGAGTAAGGTAGTTGCTCTACGTCTACTTTGCTCCAAAACAACAACGTATAAATGGACAACCAGTCGGAGAAAACGTGAATCAGGCTACTGTGTCTGAGGACTGTCTGTATCCGGCTCATCAACGCAGTCATCTGAGGACACTTCTGATTGACCCAGGGGTATCCGTTAACTACGCGCACATGAACAACTGAGTAGCCCCGCCCCGCAACAGTCACGTTTTGTATATGTTATTGATAACTATGGATTCTCGCAGTTTCGCCATCT